GGTCGGCGATGTTGAATGTGGCGGAGACTCCATATTCTCCTGGTAGATTGATCTTGTAGGCGTTATCATTGACCTTCTCTAGAACTTCGAAGGGACCATCCGCTTGGGGCAGTAGCTTGGACTTGCGTTTCGTGGGGAAACGCTCTTTCCGAAGATGAATCCAAACCAAATCTCCAGGCTTGAACTCAGCGGACTTCCTTCTCTTGTTGACTCGTGCACTCACTCTCTCATTCATTGCTTCAATTCTCTCTCGGACCTTGGCGTGAAGGTCTTGAATCTCATTGGCTCGTTCCTCGGCTTCCGCACTATATTTCTGTGTTATCACAATTGGATCAAGTTCAAGTGGGGTAAGGGGGTTAGAACCATAAACAACCATAAATGGAGAAACTGTTACAGTACTATCACAGCTCCTCTCACGGATTTAACCAAACATCAAAAGTTTGAGTGGAATCCAAGTGCACAACAGGCCTTCGAAACTATCAAACTTAAACTAACACATGCATCGGCGTTAGCTTTGCCTAGTTTTGATAAGTTGTTCGAAGTTGAATGCGACGCTTCCGACGTTGGCATAGGAGCCGTATTATTCCAAGAAGGCCACCCCATGTCATATTTTAGTGAGAAGTTGAATGAAACCCGAAGGAGATATTCAACTTATGACAAAGAGTTTTACGCTCTTGTACGATCTCTTGAGCATTGGAGGCATTATTTGATTAGCAAGGAGTTTATACTCCATTCTGATCATGAAGCGCTGGAGTACATCCAAGGGCAACATAAACTCCGACCCCGTCATGCCAAATGGGTCGAATTCATCCAAACCTTCACCTTCTCCATAAAACACAAGAGCGGGACCCTAAACAAAGGCGCTGATGCCTTATCCCGGTGACATTTATTACTAACGGTACTTAGTACCAAACTTGTCGGTTTTGTGTTTTTGCAGGAGCTATACAAGGAGGATGAAGACTTCAAGGAGGCATACCATAAGTGCCTCACATCCTCATTAAAGACGGTTTTCTGTTTCGTGGCAACCAACTATGTATCCCGAAATGTAGTTTGCGCGAAACAATAATCGAGTAAGTTCATGGCGGTTCTTTCGCTGGTCATTTCGGGATGGATAAAACTTATATATTGCTTCAAGAGCATTATTACTGGCCAAAGATGGAAAGAGACACCGAGCATTTTATTCGGCGTTGTACTACTTGTCAACTCACCAAAAGCCAATCCAAAGCCACACAAGGAATGCATATGCCGCTGCCCGTCCCACAAGCTCCCTGGGAAGACGTGAGTCTAGATTTCATCACCGGTTTGCCACGAACGCATTGAGGAAAGGATTCAATCATGGTGGTGGTTGATCGATTTTCAAAGATGGCACACTTTGTTTCGTGCCTAACAACTCATGATGTTTCACAAATTGCAGATTTGTACTTTAGGGATATTATCAAACTTCATGGCATTCCCGAAGTATGGTTTCCGATCGAGACAGCAAATTCTTAAGTCATTTTTGGATGACTTTGTGGAGAAAGATGGGTACTAAACTCAAGTTTAGTACATCAAGCCACCCGCAAACCGGATGGCAAGACGGAAGTAACAAACCGAACACTTGGTACCATCCTTCGTGCCATCATCAAGAAGAACATCAAACAGTGGGAGGAATTACTTCCTCATGCCAAATTTGCTTACAACCGCAGCCCAAGCAAAACAACAGGCGTGTCACCATTTGTTAGTGTTTATGGTGTTAATCCCCTTACCCCACTTGATCTTAATCCAATCTTAACAGATACAAAGTAAAGTTGGGAAGCGGAGAAACGAGCACAGGAGATACAAGCTATTCACAACAAGGTCCGAGCAAAAATAGAAAAGATGAATGAGCGTGTCAGTGAAAAGATCAACAAGGGACGCAAGAAAATGGATTTCCAGCCCGGAGATCTTGTGTGGATCCACCTTAGAAAAGAGCGTTTTCCCACAAAACGCAAGTCCAACTTTGTCATATTATCCTTAATTGTCAAAACTACAACTTTCCTTGATTCCCTTCTCACATGGCAGGAATTAATGATCCATATTAAGCCAAAAATCCCAGCCTTTTAACCTCCTTTTCCTGGACAATGAGTGCTGCCCACTAAGATTAATAATACAAGGATATTAATCAAAATGATTTGTAGGAAAGTAAAGTGTAATTTCCCTTGTTTTGCATTATATATTTCGGCCATGAGGCCTCGTAAATGCATCTCATTCTCGTTATTAATATTACTCTTGAAGTATTCCCTGAATTGGTGTGAAGCTAGTTCAATCCATTTCCTAATGAAATATCTCTAAAGTTGGCCACTTTTGAGTGTGTTAGGAGTCTATTTCATACTCTAATAGTGATTATTATTGTATAAAATAGATAACAACCCCAAATATATATAAAAGAGTGTGTTTACCTCTGACAGTCGTAGTTTTTCGGGTAGTAAACCTTCCCAATAAAGGGTTAGTTTTCTCTCCGAGTGTCGTATCTCTCGAGGAGTGGACGAAGGGAATTAGTTTAATTACTCTAACTAGGCGAAGATTAGGATTGGTTTATGAAAGTCTTCTCGAAACGATTATAAAAAGAGTAGAGTAAAAATAATAAATTAATTTTACATAGTATAAGTGTAGATCTGGACCTAGGGTCAGGACATCATCTGGATCTATTTTATCATATTAAATTAACAATTGGAATAATAATATTTCTATTACTACTCATCAATTTCTAGATTTGTACTTAATCTGTTGCACTTGAATATCATAGCCATTTTGGCATACAATATCTTCTCAATAAATAGCTAATTAAATCTTTCGAGAATAATTAACTAAATAAGGCAAGAACAATAGATTAACCATTCCAACATTAATTTAACATCAAAAAATAAACAACCAAACTAGTCCGGACCCAGAGATCCGGACCCTAACTCATACTATGTAAACATAAATTAAAATAGCATTTTATTAAATAAAGAAAACTTACAACCTCCGTAAAAGCGGAATAGAACAAATCTGATGTCAAAACCTCCGAAAATACTTCAAACTAACTACTAAAACTAATATACAAGCTAAAATGGAGACGGGATGTATAAATCCCGAAGTTGGGATGGAATGGGATGATAAAAATGAGAAGAATCGTGCTGTATTTATAGGAATAGATCCAAGGCGTCCAAGTCAAAGCGTCCAAGTCCAAGCGTCCAGATCTGGACGCCTGAGCTGTCCCGGCCAACCAGGTTTTGCCACGTGTCATTCTTGGGCTGCAATTAAGCTGAAGCGTCCAACTCCCAAGCGTCCAACTTGGCCAAGCGTCCAAGTTGGGGCCCTTCCTTTGTTGGGCTTCGCGGCTGGTTCGTGATTTCGGCCTAATTTTGCTCCGTTTTGGTCCCGAACACTATTTTTGACCTCCCGGAAGCTCGTTCAAGCCCGAATCTTGATCCCTTGATGATTTATTCGCTTTTTCTCAAGTATTTGAACATAAAATGGATGATTTATGATGATTTCATGTGGAATCCCATTTTATGACTCTTAGAACGAAAATGAGAGTTTTATCCATCAAAATCACATTTTATGAGATGATTAAATACTATTTACGTGCAATAACGTTTAGAATATGATGTAAATGATAAGAATGAAACGGACTTATCAAATTCTTCACACTTAAACGTTGCTTGCCCTCAAGCAACAAATTGAATAATTACAGGTATAAAGACAAATTAATAATTGCAGAGGCAAGGTTTAAGCTACATATTATGAAGGAAAGAAGGAATAAGATAGTCATCAACCTTTTTGTTAAGAATAAATGAATCTTTAGATTCTCACCCATATTGTTAGAAATGTAAAAGAATTTTGTCAAACCAATATTTTTACACCAACCTAAACAACCAAAATTTTCCAAACTTTCCTTGGGATAACTACATTTGTAAGAGTACTTTAAAGATCAAATAATTTTTTAATGGCTAAATTGGAAAACATGTTCTTGCAAAAGTAATTGTCAAAGTGTACGGGTTTAATTTTCTTTGTCATAACTTTGTCATGTTGACACGAGAAAAATTTATAACCTCATCCCGTGACGTAGAACCACGAGCTTTTTGGATATTCACTCTGGAAAGTCTCATCACACGACATAGAACCGCATGCTTTTTGAATCTAACACTCAAAAGGCCTCATCACGCAATATAGAACCACGTGCTTTTCGGCATACTCACCACGCCTCATCAGTTGACCTAGAACCAACTGCTTTCTGGCTAAAACAAGAATCTCGGTCTCACCAAAGTATGTTTTGAAACATCGCCCCTTACACCTTGAAAATAACTCTTTTAAAGAAACAACAAATACTCCTAAAAGCATCAGCAAAAAGATTTTCAATAAAGCCCTTAAAAATTGATTGATCTTAAAAACTCTTAGTAAATTGTGAATTTATCCCAAATCATTTTAGAAAACATTCCCAAAAGGTTAGAGTAAACATAAAAGTTTGACAAAAAGTTAAAAAATTTCCAATTTTTATGGGTGATAACTAAAGATCAATTAAAATTGATGACTATTCTATAAACATCTTTTCCTAAAAATATATAAACAAAACAATTCCTAAAAAGATCATTTCAACCACGAACTCTTACCTCCTCACACTTAAACGGAACCACGCCCTCGTGGTTAATAGTATTTTGGAATTGGAGTTAATGGTTGAAATGCTCACATGCAATTACTAAGTTATCTCAATACTAACAAGATTCAACGATGAAGATTGAAATAATAGATAACCATAAAATGAAAATATGAAATAATGCATAAAATATTTTCAAAATGGTTTTAAGAGTCATGTTGTGAAATTCCAAAATAAAAATCATCAAGCATTTAAATGATGTTCAAAATAGTAGAGAAAAAGAGACTTTATTGATAAAGTCAATATTCTCTCAGTAGCCAACTTCAACCAGGACTGTTGGATCAAGAAGCCTCGAAGGTTGTAGAAACCTTGTGTTTTCCCAGGTGAGACCTCTTCTTCGCTCCCACTGTAAGGTATGCCCTACAATTCTCTCATCTGCAAAAGCAAAGACAACAAACAAAATAACTCTTGCCCCAAAAACTGGTGCGGCAAGCAAAACCTCAAAAACTAACAAATAAAACTATTGGATTTATTAATTATTTTAGTTATTTGAATGACGGGTTGCCTCCCGTTAAGCGCTTCTTTAACGTCCGTAGCTCGACGCTCACCCACTTTTTCCGTGACTTTCCGATCTGAGAGTCATAAAGTTTGGCCCTTTTAACTCTCTTCTGATACCACCTTGTTTGATTTGTTGCTCGGTCAAGGTCCAGGATCCTTGACTCATCCCAACGGCTTGGTGGCAGCAGGATAAAAGGAGGAGACTCTAGATAAGTGGGTGGCGGCGGAAGTCTCCTCAATTGATCCACATCATTGGCCTTCATAGCAAGATTAATATCTTCCTTATCTTCAATTGGCAGACTATCCATTTGTGGTTTGATGATTATGATCATGCTTTCCCCCATGGATGCGTCTTCAGTGTCACTTACGAGAAGTTCATCCCAACTCTTTTGGCTCCAACCATCGTTCGGGCAGACATAGTCACACTCGTCAAGTATGGAGTCAAAGAAGGTATGGTCTGAATCTTCAGATGAAGCATTATGTACACAGGTTTCTATAAGCGGAGTTGGCTTTTCCATGCAAAGTAATTCCTCGTCTATAGATTCCTGCTTAGACACTTGGACATTGGTATCTTGGGGGCAGGTAATGGGCTCTACTTCCTCCAGAACAGGTTCCTCTAGAGGTATGTCTTCAACACAATTAAGGAGATGGTCGTTTATTGCTGTAGGCAAAACTTCCTCCTCCTTTTCTTGAATGAGCGTAGGTGGTTCTGAGTCAGGTCCCTCAGTTGGTTCCACCTCATGTACGACTATGCTGGTTGGGACTTGGCTAGGACGGTATTCAGGTAACATCACCACGGGTTTCTGTGATGATGTAGAACTAGGTGAATCTTCTAGAACTGGAACCTGAGAGTTTGAGGAACTCCTACTTAGGTGTGACTTGCAAGAGAACGAAGAGCAAACCTTTGTAAGGTACCTTTTTGGCCTAAATCTCCAAATAGCCAATACGGTAGAGCTGCAAGGCTAGACGACATTTGAAGAACTTACTAAGTTGGCTCTCAAAGTTGAGTCACAAATGAAGAAATCCAAAGCCATTTTATCAAGGAACTCTACCCCTTTCTCACGCCCCACTTACACCCCCACCAAACCCCCTCCTACTGCCCACGGCCAAGCACCCAAACCCAAAACTCCTTTCAAACCAAACCCCACTCCTCTCCCACCTAAAACAGCCCCTTCAACCAACAAAAGAGCCCCCGTGTGTTACCGATGTCAAGGGACTGGTCACTATGCCAATGAGTGTCCAAACAAGAAGATAAAGGCCTTGGTGGAATATGAAGATGAAGAATATAATCCCATATGGGATGAAGAGATAGCCGAGGAAGAAGAGGAAGAATGCGTTGTGTTAGATATCCGGGAGCATCAACGGAGACTTTCCTTAGCCCACAAAAGGAAAGACGGATCAGGGGAATAAATCCAAAGTGTGGTGACGTTATTAGGGTTGAATCCACTCCTTTGCCCTTCCCTAAAGCCCAAACCAACACCAGGGCTGTCCTACACCCCACCTAGGCCGAACCAACACCCCCCATTCCTTCCCTAAACATCCAAAGTTCCTTGTCATTTAATTCCTTTCAAAATAATGTTTTCCTACACTTATTTTTAGCCTATGGCAGAAAATAAGAGTATGTAAACCAAAACCTTTTGTTTGTTGTTATTTCCCTTTTTCCTTTCTTTCTTTGGCCAAACTTATGGCATCCCATGAACCCCATATCACCCCTAATACACCCCTGGCAGAAGTTCTTTGCATAAACCACAACCAAACAAAACACTTCAATTCCCTCATTTGAGAGCCGAGGATACCAGGCCAAAACCACTCCTTTATTTCACACAATAAACCCACAATTACCAACCAAAACCCCTCTCTTATTCCATGTAAGAGACCTGCCCCTGTCCCCCCTTTTGTTCCCCAACAAAGCTGCACAGCCCTGGCCCACCACTAACTCAATCAACTCTCTCTTATTCTCTACATAAACACCCAAGAGATACCTCCAAAAGAACAGCCAGCCTTCTCTCTCTTTTACCCCCACTTGGCCGAGAATACATCACCCAAAAAACCAATCAAAGTATGGGTATTATTCACATAAATATTTCCCATGCACTAAAGGCCGAGAAAGGAGTTCCACAACCACACACCATCTCTGAATTTTCTCCCTACCTAGAAGACATGAGGGCTGATGAATATTTGCTAGGAAGCTTCCTTTATGTCCCATTAATTGTATTGTGTGTTTCCCCCCACTTTCCCCTTCATATATAATTCAGCCTTAGGGCCATGTTGTAAGGCAGCTTTTTGATGAATTAAAACATTACTCTTTGAGTATATTTTAAATAGTGTGATGCTATTTAAGCCAAATTCCTAATTCTATATCTTAAGAGTGGTTATCTTAAGTATGAGTTTTAGGTTCTAGATATTTAAATAAGTGTGTAATATCTTATTTAAGTTCTAGATTCAAACCCCAAGTTAAGATAAGAGTGTGTCATATCTCTTAACACCAACTTGGTTTATCCCCTCCTATTTTATTCCCCCATTTCATGCCTCCCCATATTCTCTTCCTAAACCTCTTCTTTTTCTTCATAAAAAACACCAAAAGAACTCCCCTTTTGCCCCATAATATTTCGGCCACCCCATTTTTCCCTCACCTCCTCATAATTCCTTCTCTAAAATAGCAACGTGATAAGACCCCGGGTCTCGAGTATAACATTTGGTATCAGAGCATTGTGTTTCAACATCCCTAAGGGCCAATTACACTTCCAAAAACCTTTCCCTTCACCTTGGTTATTTTGACCAAGACCACTCCAAAAACACCTCTTCAAAAAACCATCCCCCTTATCTCTTTGTTTATGCCATAAAGATCAGCCTCAACACCAATGAAGAGCTCTGGGCCTCGAATACAGAACTCAAGACCCAAGTGGAGTACTTGGCTAAGCAGATTGCTCAACTCACCAAATTCAAAATGAATATGATGAATACCCCTGAAGAAAGTGAAGATGAGCAAGAGGAAGAAGCCCAATCAGAAACTCATCCTCGTCCCACAAGGAGAAAACAACCAAGAGAAGTCATCTACTGATTTCAAAGTTGAAATCCAAACTTTTGATGGCAAAGATGACCCCGATGATTTCATAGAATGGTTAGAGACGATTGAACGTGTCTTTGACTATACCTAGGGTATTAGAGGATAAGAAGGTCAAGCTTGTGGCCTTAAAACTCAGAGGCTACGCATCTACGTGGTGAACTAACACTACCACCAAGCGCAAAAGAGAAGGCAAGGCTGCTGTTAAAAATGGACCAAGATGAGAGCTTTATTGAAGAAGAAGTTCATTCCTACTCATTATATAAGGGAAAACTTTGCTAGGCTTCAAAACCTACGATAAGGAAATCAGTAAAAGAGTACAACCTGTTATACCCGAACCCGGGGTCTTATCATTTAGAAAATTTGAGGGCGGGATTACGGAGGAATTGGTAGCAAACTAGAATAGCCGTTAAACTTCAGGAGAGGTCCGACAGAAGGAGACAATCGATTGTTAGAGACTGCAGGAATCCTGGGGATGAGATAATCGATTGACTGAAGGAGACAGTCGACTATTGAAGGCTGCAGAATTTCTGGGGAAGCTGATAGTCGATTGTCTAAGGAAGACAGTCAACTGTTGAAGGCTGCAGATGTTTTTACGGAGGGCTGATAATCGATCCCCTCAAAGGATAACCGATTATTTGACAGATTTCTAGGCAGGAAGAAGGGTGTTTTGTGAGGGAATGGCTTGGAAATATATGGAGATGATGAAGGAGTTCTTTTGGTATTTTTTTAATATGAAGAAAGAAAGGAGATTAAGGATAGAAATGGTGGGAAAAGAAATGGAAAGAAAATAATGATGGATAAACCAAGTTGGTGTTTAAGAGATATTACACACTCTTATCCTCACTTGGGGTTTGAATCTAGAATTTAATTAAGATATGACACACTTAATCAAATATCTAGAACCTAAAACTCACACTTAAGATAACCACTCTTAAGATATAAAATTAGGAATTTGGCTAAAATAGCATCACACTATTTTATTAATACTCAAAGAGTAATAGGGATTTTAATATTCAAAGATGGTGTTACAATGGCCATAAGGCCTGAGTTATATAGGCAGGGGAAGGGGGAGATAATTCAAAATACATTGAATGTAAACTTCAGGGAAGCTTCCTTGCAACAATCTCTTCCAAGGCATGGGGTATGGGTCATTCATTCATGTCTCCTTAGTGGAATAAAATCAGGGATGGGGCTGGGGTTTTGGGGGTTTGTGTTTTGGTTCCTAGTGGTTGTATCCTGGGTTTTGTGGTTATTATTTAGGTAAAAATGGGGGTTGTTTTTGGTCATTAAATGGGGACCGGGCTGGGTATTATTTATGGGTATTTTGGAGTTATGGCTTTGGGTTATTGTGAGGGAAACATGGGCAGGAATGGTTGGCTAGTGGTGGGTCAGGATTTTGGCCCTTTGTGGGTGTTTATGTTGGGATTGTCAGGTTTAATTGGCCAGGAAATAAAAGGAAGGAGAGAGGGTTTTATTTGTTTATTGGAAAGGCTTGGAAGAAGGAAAATAACACAAACAAAAGGTTTTGGTTTACACATTCTTATTTTCGGCCAGGGGCTTAAATAAGAGTAGGAAAAACTTTATTTTGAAATGAAGTAAATGGCAAGGAGTTTTGGATATTTTGGGTTGGGTTGGACGGAGTGGGAGTTGGCCTGTGGAACCCTCGGGTCCGAAGCTATTCTGGCCTCTTGGGTTGAAGGACTCGGAATTCTCACTAAAACGGATCATAATGCTTGAACTTAAGTCCTCTGGTTTTTGCGAGGGTGTGGGACATGGGGGAGGGTATGCCAGGCCCGGATATAACACAACCGAGAGTTTGAAGAACTCTTGATGCGATGTGATCTTCAAGAGATGACTCACAAATCTTTGTGAGATATTTATTTGGTTTAAACACCCAAATAGCCAACACCGTGGAGCTGCAAAATTTTGAAAGCCTTGAAGATTTAACAAAGCTAGCCCTAAAAGTGGAAGCTCAACTCAAGAAAGGCAAGTCCCCCTTGAACCGTCCCCTTCCACCACATCAAGGCCAACCAAATTACACCCCCATTGCTGCCCGGAACCCCACGGCTCTCTCCCCTAAAAATCCCAAAACCATGCACCCTATTTCATCGCCAAGTGCTCCTTCTCCTTCAAAACCTAGTTCATCAAGTAGCCGAGTCCAAAAGTGTTTTCGTTGTGACAATTGTAGTTTTTCGGGTAGTAAACCTTCCCAATAAAGGGTTAGTTTTCTCTCCGAGTGTCGTATCTCTCGAGGAGTGGACGGAGGGAATTAGTTTAATTACTCTAATTAGGCGAAGATTAGGATTGGTTTATGAAAGTCTTCTCGAAACGATTGTAAAAAAGGGGGCGGAGTAAAAATAATAAATTAAGTTTACATAGTATAAGTATAGATCTGGACCTAGGGTCTCGACATCATTTGGATCTATTTTATCATATTAAATTAACAATTGGAATAATAATATTTCTATTACTACTCATCCATTTCTAGATTTGTACTTAATCCGTTGTACTTGAATATCATAGCCTTTTGGCATACGATATTTTCTCAATAAATAGCTAATTAAATCTTCCGACGTTAATTAACCAAATAAGGCAAGAACATTAGATTAACCATTCCAACATTAATTTAACATCAAAAATAAACAACCAAACTAGTCCGGACCCAGAGATCCGGACACTAACTCATACTATGCAAACATAAATTAAAACAGCATTTTATTAAATAAAGAGAACTTACAACTTCCGTACAAGCGGAATTGAACAGATCGGGAGTAGAATTCCTCCAAAAATTACTTCAAAACTACTAAAATACTACACTAATACTCGGAATTGGAA